TTCTCAAACGCTCAGCTCTTATCCTTTCTGCAATCATTTCTTCCTTCATTCTCATTCCCTTCCTGGTGTGCCCCCTCCACACAATATGGTCCATGGCATTATGTTCCCACGAATCCACCTCAGTACCTGCATAATTCATGTCCCGCTTGCACAGATCTTTATATCATAGTAGAGTCCGGCCTCGACATCTTCTGACCGTCCTTAAGTCACCATAGAAGATATCCATAGGGACTCTGCCATCCTCCACTCTCCAGATGTGACCCAGCCATCTGAGCGTTCGTAGACTCAGCATTGACTAAACTGTTGTAATAGCTGCTCTTTCCAGTACCTCAGTGTTCATGATCTTGTCCAGCCACTTAATGCCAAGTATTCTTCCCAGTCATCACATGTGACAGCTGCTTAGCCATTTCTCCTGGTGCGAATAAGTTGACCAAGTTTTCTTCCCAGCCATCACATCTGACAGCTGCTTAGCCATTTCTCCTGGTGCGAATAAGTTGACCAAGTTTTCTTCCCAGCCATCACATGTGACAGCTGCTTAGCCATTTCTCCTGGTGCGAATAAGTTGACCAAGTTTTCTTCCCAGCCATCACATGTGACAGCTGCTTAGCCATTTCTCCTGGTGCGAATAAGTTGACCAAGTTTCACTGCCATAAAGCAGAGTGCTGAGAACACAAGCCTGGTAGACAAGTGTTTTTGTACTTTATTTACATACATACACAATATATATATATATATATATATGTTTCCCTTTTTTCAGGCGACGGTGTTATATTGTCCTGTATGGAGACATGACATAATGTACACATATCTTCTTAAGCGTCCCAAGTCCTTGATGTTCACTTCACTGCTACAGATAACACCCGCGTTCCTTCATACGCTTTATAAATAGAAATACAGGAATAAAATGTTAAGTACTTATGTTACATTACAGTTTGTCCACAACAAAGTTAATGTCAATAAATATATAAACGTAGGTAAATAACAACATGCTTGAGGTATAAATATTATAAACTTAATAATCATGATTTCAATGTGATAAACTAACGGAACGGTTAAACAGTGCAGAACTGTACAGTATTATGTACGTTCAACAGCATACACACAATTTAAGAGGACAGCGATGTTTTTACTAGTGAATCACTGAGCCATATTTAATATCTAATTGCTTGATTCTACTCGTGGAGGTAGTGATGGTGGTAGCAGCAGTAGTAGGATTTGTGGTGATGCTATTAGTAGCAACAGAGTTGAGGAAGTATTAGTAGAAGTGGTAGTAGTAGTGATTGTGTTAGCGGTGATGATGTTAGTAATTTTAGCAGCAGCAGCAGCAGCAGCAGCAGCAGCAGCAGTAGTAGTAGTAGTAGTAGTAGTAGTAGTAGCAGCAGTAGCAGTAGTAGTAGTAGTAATAGCATTACCAGTCACTGTTGTCGTAGTGATATTTTAGTACGAGTAACTATAGCAGGGTTTTGCTTTTTGACAGTACGAGATGATATGCAGCACCAGCAACTTTCTGAGACTTCATTTTGGTCAGCCCTGATGTCACAGACATTTTGTGGTGAGTAAAGGCGCCAACTGTTTTTCCCCAAACACATTTTGTGGCCAGTATCGGCAGTAGTGGTAGTAGTGGTAGTAGTGATGATGATAGGGGTGACAATGCGGAGACAATTCTGTCCACAGATCTCGACTTGTGAAGCAACACTTCTCCCCGCTTGTTGTTTAAAATATTGAATCCCCTCCAGGATTAACAACTCCCTGCTGTGAAGGAACGAGGTACAAGTCCCATAAATGTCCTGGTAAAGTTTCCTGGGCTTTCACCACATGGCCGTCTGTTCGGTGTTACTTCTTTAATTCAATGTATGAAACTACACAGCTCCCCACGACACTACCACAGTTGCCACGACATCACCACAGTTGCCACGACACCACCACAGTTGCAACGACACCACCACAGTTGCAACGACACCACCACAGTTGCCACGACACCACCACAGTTGCAACGACACCACCACAGTTGCCACGACACCACCACAGTTGCCACGATACCACCACAGTTGACACGACACCACCACAGTTGCCACGACACCACCACAGTTGCCACGACACCACCACAGTTGCCACGACACCACCACAGTTGCCACGACACCAGCACAGTTGGATGGGATAGTTGCTTGCACACACTAAACTTAGAGGGACTGTCTTTCATAACCATCTCCCTCTCAGCTAAGACGTGCGTTCTGACACGGAACCGTCATAGGACCCTCCCTCCTCTCTCTCTGTCTCTCTCTCTCTCTGTCTCTGTCTCTCTCTCTGTCTCTGTCTCTGTCTCTCTCTCTCTGTCTCTCTCTCTGTCTCTCTGTCTCTCTCTCTCTCTCTCTCTCTCTCTCTGTTCCCCTCCACACACACACAGCCGCTTAGCTGACAGCGTTCTGACAGTCACACTTGACTGTAACACACCAAGTAAACCCTGACACATCACACACTCAGACTGTAACACACCCAGTAAACCCTGACATGTCACACAACCAGACAGTAACACACCCAGTAAACCCTGACATGTCACACAACCAGACAGTAATACACCCAGTAAACCCTGATATGTCACACAACCAGACAGTAATACACCCAGTAAACCCTGACACGTCACACAACCAGACTGTAATACACCCAGTAAACCCTGACACGTCACACAACCAGTCTGTAATACACCCAGTAAACCCTGACACGTCACACAACCAGACTGTAATACACCCAGTAAACCCTGATAGGTCACACAACCAGACTGTAATACACCCAGTAAACCCTGACATGTCACACAACCTAGACATGTCCGATCACTGATTGCCTCCCTGCCCAAGAGTCTCAGGTTTGACAGCGAACAGAGATATGATTGTTATACCTTAATTTCGAGGTCAACCCAGCGAAAAACTGGCACGAGGAATATTTTCCAAGGAAAGGCGGTTAGCGTTATGTTGACATTCACTAAGTGCATCCATTTCTCATCATCAAACAGCAGACCCTTTGCCGGACGTCGCTCTCGTCAGGTCACGGACTGAAAGTCTTGTCTTTCTCTAGATGTCTAGCAAATTCTCCAGCCCTTTGCGCTTTCATAGTCAATTCACCTATCTCTGCCTCGTTTTCTGAAAACTGCCTTTCGGCACTGTGATGGGAGCGACGTTCTGCAAAGGACCTGCTACATGATAATGATGATGACCTTCCAGCACTGTGGTCTCCAAGCTAAGACGACGTTTAACTAGTGCCGATTGGTCTATAAAATCTATGAACATGATTCCTCATGCGGGATTCGTAATTGACACAACAAGGAGGCTTCCATCCGACACAATGTCTGGAGATCGAATGTGTTGATCTTGTAGATAAACGACTGCTCTCCCATGTTCGCCCAGACTAAAACAGGTAGCAGTAACTTGTCAGTGAAATGAAGGCAATCAGCGTGATCATATCATCCAAAGAGTGTGCTGGGAAATGAACAGGCTGACAGACTGATGGCTCTGCATAATTTGGTAGAAAACTGCAGGCAAGATCAGGCAGACGTGGTTAGGGCCTTGTGGCATAACGTGTACAATGCGGAGAAGCAAACGGATCACCTCAGTCTGGTGAGAGTGTTGCAGCGAGGAGTGAAGAGGTGATCTGGCCGATACTCGACGCTCAGAGGAAAGGCAAGACGGGCGTATAATCAGAGTTGCTACTGGCACATTTGGTATTGGAACTGCGCTGGCAGCTGAAGATAGGGACGGGGCGCTTATGCACCCCGAGTGCTTTGATGTCGGTTCTTGAATCAACTCAGCTTATCGTAAGAGTACCGGGACTTGTCTACAAAATACGTGCCTAGCACTAAATGCCCGCTGGGTCAATGGCATTAAAAAGGGTCACTGACTTGTGTTTCCAGCGGCCGTGGTGCAGCGACTAGAGGCTCGCCTGCACATCAAATGGTCGTGGGTTCGGGTCTTGATGGAGCCGGACTTTCTCATCTCAAAAAATAAACTTGGCTCCCAGGTCGACCCAGCCTTGAGTGGGTACCAGGTAAAGTCCTGGGAGGTAAACACGGCCGGCGTGATGCTGATCACATCACCGACAAAGTGACGACCGGTCTATAAAATGTAGGCCTAGCCCTATATGCCCAGTCCACATGAAAACGTGGACACGAGTCCTGTATTTTACTTTAAGTGCGACGTAGGTTGGTTGGTCTTAGGGCCAGTTATAGATGTTTTGGGGTCGTTAAAAGTATCAGAAAGCCGTGAAACCCAGTCTTACAACCCTCTAAAATGTTGGACTGGCCTGTGACGTCATCTGGGGGTAGGATATTGCAAAAGAACAGTTGTCTGCATTCAACATCTTGTGTATGGAAAACATCATATTCACTGATGACATAATCAATGATTTTACATTTCGGAAATCAAAAAGATGTTAGAAATACCTGGTGTATAGCGTTTTAGACGATTCTATAATTTCTGTGATTTACTATTTCTTTTAATAAAAATTAGGCCACAATATCTTTCCATTGTCCATATATTAGATAAAGGAGTAAAAAATTTTAAAGTTTTCTGAGATTAGGTGGTGCAATTCAACATTTTGAGGACCTCATGACTTTACAGCCGAGGGCTTCATCAAGTCCAAATACGGTCTTAGAGTCTAGCATCATATACCTGATGTGTGTGTATGTTCTGTTCTGTGTGTGCTGTATGTGGTGTGTGTGTATGTGTGTCCCACCCAAAGCATCCTATAACCCAAATCAATATATGTATTTGTCTACTTTCTCAGCAAACCAAACAACGTAGAACAATAAATAAACACAGACAAGTGTTACATTTGTGATATGTTCATATGGGAAATATAAATATACAACACTATACAGAAACATACAACAAAACAAATTCTGTCTTTTCTCCAGCGTGTGTAACATTGCTTGGAAAATCCTGGAAAATGCTGGCAATTACAACGCCGTTCTTGACTGGAAAACTAATTTTAGAGCTAGCGTCATCTTGTAGCTATCTGTTTTTCCCTTTTCCTTTCTTCCATTTCCTAATCATGTCATACATGACGTCCATGGCGTCAGCCAGACCCTCGCCAGTGACAGCACACGAGGACAGCAGCTGACAGGCGTGACTAGAGGACAGTTCACTCACCCCGACTGCTTTCGCCACCTCCTCGGGCGGCAACGACTCACGCAAATCTTGCTTGTTGGCGATGACCAGCGTGGGAATGTTGTGCGGGTTTTGAGTTTTTACCAGTTTCATCAGCTCGATCCGGGCCTCTTCCATGCTCTCTTTATCACTGCTGTCAACGACAAACAGAATCCCGTCTGCAGATCGCAGGTAGGACTTCCACAGCGGTCGCATGTTGTCCTTACCCCCGATGTCCCAGACAGTGAACGTCACCCCCTTAGCTTTTCCTTCTGTGATTTCGATTTTCTCGTGGTTGAACCCGATGGTGGGGATGGAGCTGGTGTACTGGCCAAATTTGAGCCTGTACAAGATGGTGGTCTTCCCAGTCCCTTCAAGTCCTACCATGACGACCTGCACTGAGGGAGCTCCGCCCATCGCCTACATACTTCCCTGGAAGCGATTTTAAAAGGTCAAAATCCCCAGCCCATCGCCGAATCACTACATGTAATAGACTGTTAAAACTGAGCTGATCGATGGAAAACAACTGCAACAGTTGCCTTGACTCAAAGTTTGCGTAAAGTGATTGTAGAATCCAGCAGTTAACTGTTTTCTCAAAGGAAGCTATTTAAATGCACTTCAATGACTATGGCAGCCAATCAAAACAACATACACGTTATAACTCTAGAGTACACTAGCCACTTAAAGAGAACTCACGGAGAGTTCGCAAACAATAAATTCCCGCATTTCCCTTGCCTTGCTTTCTTTCCTTTCCTTGTATCATAAACAAAACACACTAAATTCCCGCATTTCCCTTGCCTTGCTTTCTTTCCTTTCCTTGTATCATAAACAAAACACACTATTATTGATTCCACCTCAATTGCTGATTCCCAGTACTACACGTTCAAGAATTCCAATAAAGAATTGATCTATAGTAAACTATAACAGGTGGTAAACGTTAAATAAACTCATATAAGGTGGCAACCTTACACGAACTATTAAATTTTCACAAATCCCAGTAAAACAGTGGGCCGCAATTCTAAGCAATATTTCAGCAGCGACGAAGCAAAATTTCGATTTTGTTGTTTGATTTCCGTCGAACAAGAAGACAAGAGCGTTTCACACGAACGCTTTCTCGCACTAGAACACATTATCGTCAGTGCCTGCTTCTCTCCTAATGAACAAACCGTTGAATCTTGAACATTGTTGTTTCCCTTTATAATCCATGAACATTGTTGTTTCCCCTTTCACATCTTCAACATCCTAGTTTTCCTCTTTTCATCTGAGCAGAAATAAAGCGTAGGCACTGGGACAGAACGAGAAGCTGTTTCAACATCTTGGCGCGCGGTGATGCAACCACAGCAGCAGTGGCTCCACGTAAAAAGATTCCTCCAGGCGACACTTTTCCAGTTCTCCCAAAGGAAGATAATACCTGCCAAATAAAGAATTTAACGATTAGTTCAAAGATGATTGCCTATTAAATTAGAATGGGTATTTCTAGCGCGTGTGAGGAATGGGGTTGTAACCAATAATGGGGTTATCTGTTCCTACTAGTAATGATTTTTGTGTACCAAATTTAGAGTGTTTAGCTCTAACCTTAAAACATTAAGTTTTTATAAGTCAGAAACATAAAGAATGACTAACACAATTACTGGCGGACTAATCCCACCCCAAAATATAGATATCCTTACGTCCTTTTTAGGACGTAATTTTTTGTTATTTGAAGCCCCACTCTGGCTTTTGCCAGGGGCCGCAATATAGGTAGGCCATAAATATGGCCAAATGTCTGAACGCGGTTTCTGGGACCTCTCTACGGCGATCCTCATCCACATGGTGGCACTTTGTGTCATCGGATGTTTATCGCTTGTGTGATGTCCTGGTGGGGTAGAAATTCAGTTCAGTTCAGTTCACCCCAAAACTTAACAACATGTCGTCCCTTTGTGAGATGCAACTTTTAGTTATTTTGAAGCCCCAACATGGCTCTTGCCAGGGGCCGCAATATAACCCGGCCATAAATATGATCTAATGGCTGAATGCGGTTTCCGGGACTTCTCCATGGGTTATTCTTTTCCACATGGTGGCACTTTGTGTCATCGGGTGTTTATCGCTTGTGTGATGTCCTAGTGGGGTAAAATGTACTACTACTACCCATCCCAATGTGGCACGTACTTTTTCTTGATGGTTATGTGAAAGCCCCTCCCCGGTTTTCGTCGGGGCCATATATATAACCTACGGGTCGAACGAGGTTTCTGAGACTTGCGTCCGCGTGATTCTCATCCGAACAGTGGCACTTTGTGTCACCGGATGTCAGTCGCTCGTTGTGCGGACCTGGTGGGGTTGAACGTTATTCATTCAAACATCTATTATCTTGTGTAATGGAGCAGCTTACGCAGGATCAGCAACATGAACATACGACAGCATACGTGAAGGACATCAAAGTGTACACAACAAAGAAATACAGAGACAAGACAAACACTAATAAATGTTTTTTTTTTGGGGGGGGGGGGCGGGAGGGGGGGATATAAGAACTAGACTAGTGGTTCTCAACCTTCCTAAGGCTGCGAACCTTTAATACAGTTCCTCATGTTTTGGTCACCCCCACCCATACAATTATTTTCATGGCTACTTCATAACTCCAATGAATTTGTGTTTTGCCATCGTCTTTGTGAAAGGGTCTTTCGACCCCCAAAAAAGGGTCGCCACCCATAGAACTAGACAGAGGACTGACACAGTGATCGAATGTATCAAAGCCTGATAAAAATCCGCTGTCAGAGAAGTCTGGCGATCTCTGTGGCAAACCTCTACACCCCTAGGCAGAAAACGAGGATAAAGTAAAAGTTACACTGCACTACAAAGCACAGCCGCACCAGACTTTAGCGTCACATCCGCTGGCCCCTTGACACGGTTTAGACACCAGACTTCAGCGTTACATCCGCCGGTACCCAGACACGGTTTAGACAGCAGACTTCAGCGTTACATCCGCCGGTACCCAGACACGCTTTGGACACCAGACTTCAGCGTTACATCCGCCGGCACCCAGACACGGTTTAGACACCAGACTTCAGCGTTACATCCGCCGGCACCCAGACACGGTTTAGACACCAGACTTCAGCGTTACATCCGCCGGCACCCAGACACGGTTTAGACACCAGACTTCAGCGTTACATCCGCCGGTACCCAGACACGGTTTAGACAGCAGACTTCAGCGTTACATCCGCCGGTACCCAGACACGCTTTGGACACCTGACTTCAGCGTTACATCCGCCGGCACCCAGACACGGTTTAGACACCAGACTTCAGCGTTACATCCGCTGGTACCCAGACACGGTTTAGACACCAGACTTCAGCGTTACATCCGCCGGTACCCAGACACGGTTTAGACACCAGACTTCAGCGTTACATCCGCCGGTACCCAGACACGGTTTAGACACCAGACGTCAGCGTTACATCCGCCGGTACCCAGACACGGTTTAGACACCAGACGTCAGCGTTACATCCGCCGGCACCAAGACACGGTTTAGACACCAGACGTCAGCGTTACATCCGCCGGTACCCAGACACGGTTTAGACACCAGACTTCAGCGTTACATCCGCCGGTACCCAGACACAGTTTAGATAACAGACTTCAGCGTTACATCTGCCGGCACCCAGACACGGTTTCCGCAAACCGCCAATCTGTATACCCACCCAATTCACCCATGCATCTACACGTTTATCCACTATTCTATCAATCAATTCATCCATCCACCCACCTACCCCCCCCCCCCCCCCCAACCAATCTTTCACCCATCTAGCCACACGTATGCATAATCTCGTTAATTTACCTACCTACTAACCGATCTAAATTTGCCCTTAAAAGAGTACTGGCTCACAGTGTTGTGGTTTACAGCGTGTCTGTGATATCCGCAATTTTTGGCCTAAAACACCCCGCTTCAACAAAAACATCCAAGGAACCACCTTTTACTATGATATGCTTGTTAAAGGGCGGTGACGTATTCCACCTCTTTTCTCCCCATCTCCCCCCTTCGTCTCTCTCTCTCCCTTCGTCTCTCTCTCTCTCTCTCTCTCTCTCTCTCTCTCTCTCTCTCTCTCTCTCTCTCTCTCTCTCTCTCTCTCTCTCTCTCTCTCTCTCTCTGGAACGGTCATACGGAATCAACGACTACAACAACAAGAAAAATCATAAAATCTATCCGGAAAAAATGTATGATAAACAAATAAACACATACTGACTGGCACTCGTGAAACAGGAAGGTAACTTGTAGTGAACAAGGTCACGTGGTGCCCGGTGCGGAACACCCACCCCACCCCCCCCCCCCCCCCCGATTTTCCCTCACCAACCCCACTCCTCCCTTACCTAGACAGACAATATCAAGCTGTAACCAGAGGCGTATCAAGGTCACGTGGTGCCCGGTGCGGAACATTTCTCGTCACACCCCCCCCCCCTCCTCCCCCATTTTTTCTCTCCACATAACGAGTTATATAGTCAGTGCATTTCATACATTTTATAGAAAAAGTCTGTGAAAAAAAGAGTGGGGGGGGGGGGGGGGGTGTGGGATATTGCTTTCTGAATGTCGCCCGTAGGTAAGTAAACTATACACCATTGCACTGTCGTCGAAGCCGTTAGCATCTCAAGTACGCACAAATCTTCTTCTTCTTCTTCTTCTTCTTCTTCTTCTTCTTCTTCTTCTTTGTTGACCGGCTGTAAGCTCCGGCGGAATGTCCTGGTTGTTCGTCCATTAGGACTTTAGCTTTATGCCAGGACCGACGTTTTTATTGTACATTCTTTTTACTGGCTTATTTGTGTGCCAACGCTCGACATTCAGTAGAAAGGCGAAATGGATATACAATCAGAGAGTTGCTGGTACCATCGGAATTTTAACTCTTTGCTTGCTGCTGAAGATGGGGACAGAGCGCTTATGAGGGTGTCCTGAGTGCTGTGATGTCGATTCTTAATTCAACATTTGTGCAGCTGGTTGTTCCTTACAGCTAGGTTTAAGTTAAGACGACGGATCAACATCACGGCACAAAGGTAGTAACCCATAAGTGATTATTTCTACTTCTGACTCAAACCTGAAGAAGCTCAGCGCAGTGCACGAGCTCCGTAGCACCGGCGAGGATCCTGAAATACTTTGGGTAGATTATTAACTCGAAATGTTGCCGTTAGGCTTACTTTTTTTTTTTCTATTTCCAAGAGACTTTTTACGTGCGCAAGAATACACAAGGACGTCCGATCTTACTACCCAGAGACCAGTGAAAATTACTAAAAGTCCACGTGAAAAAATCCCAGCCCTTACTGGGGCTTGAACCCGGCAGATGCGCTTTGACTTTGAAGGAAGTCCTCAGGTAGTCGACTCCTATGACATGCTTGCTGGTAAGCCAGTGGGTCTATTCTTGTTTTCCGCACAATAGGGCCCCAGAACCCACACAGGGAAAGTACG